ACTCAGATTGGAGATCAGGTAATTAAGGTGGGAGGCAGTGTTATTTCAGGGAGGCGAAGCCTTCTTTAGCACCTCCCACAAAATAAGGAGGAATGGTTATTCTATCCCCCATCCAAATTGGAGACCAAGTAAAATGGTAGGCAGATCCATTACTAGAAGACATTGGTTTCTTTGGTAATTGTATAGAACATGAGCTGGCGATCTTTGAGAACCCTAGGTTTCCTCAACCTTTATTTGAAGCAAGTCAGAAGTTAAATGGTCATTTTTTAAAGAGATATCCCATAAAAATCCCATATTGTGAGGAGTTTTTCAGAGTTAAAGGTGTTTAAAATTTGAATGTTTGAAAATAAAAATAGAAAAAAAACAAAAAAAAACTGTTAAATAATTATTTAATGATTTATGGAAGATATGTAATTGACAGAAGAAGTTACTCTGAGCCAGAAAAAAACTCCCTTGGTTGCTACATCTCCCGTATCAAAGGGAGATTACTCTGAATCAAAAAAACTCTTGAGTGTAACTCTTCTTTGCAATTATAACTAATGCAGTGTACCTTTAACTTATCTACTAACATGTCTATCTCCTTAAGTATATTCAACACAAAATTCAAATAGGGTAAAGTATCTCGTTACTACACTGCTTAGTGAAGGACATTTACAGGAGGGTTGTGTACTGCCCACTTGGTCACTGGACTTTGGAAGTAACCCCATTCTTAACATTGAGGAAGCGGGCAGACTACACCTGTGAAACTGTCTGGTATTATCATTTACTTAAATGTGTAGTAATGTTGTAATTTACTGTCCCTAATGATGGTGTATCTAGCTATATAGGATATCTGTGGGATTTATTTTAGACTTTCACATTTAGATAATTCTTTTTAACCGTAGCAATATAATTCTAAACCTTGTTTACTTCACTTTCAGGAATTTAGAGAAGTTCCATCAGTTGGAATTTACAGTATACATTTCCCAGAAGTCCCTACTGTGGGGTGTGACCTCAATATTCACCTCTATCAACGAGAAGAGAGTGTTTGGCCGGGAACAATGGACAAAGTGGACAGTGGTCAAACTTTCCAGGACAGACTATGGAGTGGTCAATCTGAAATATCTCCTGTGAAATTTTCCATGGACACAGACTTGAAATTCCCATCACAAATGCCAAAGTTGAACAAGGCATTGCCAAATATGGACAATGACCTTGAAAAGAATTTTTCAGATGACCTCAACTTTAAACAATCAGGGTCAAACATAGAAACGGTTAATGACCATCAGAAATATATAGAAAATCTTATTCAAAATAACGAAATAATTAATAAACTAGCTGACCAGCTGATAGATGTCCTTCAACAAGCGGTTAGGAGGAGAATTTATAATCAACCGTACCTTGCCTTGGCACCAGAGGTTGAAAGGTCAGGAAACTTTTCATCAGAGGTCAAGAGGTCACCGTGTTCTCAATGTAAACCTCACTCTGAATCTCCTAATAAAACAAATGCTACTGTGCTCGAAAATAATCCTTTAACAGCTGAAGAATCAACCACAGAAGGTGCAAACGGACCAGGTAGAGGAGATGGTAATTGTGGAGGGGGAACAAGGACCAATCCTAGTTGTGAACAAGATCATCCGAAAGTAGCCATTTTGTTTTCTGGAGGAATAGACTCTGCTGTGATAACTGCATTAGCAGACAGGTATAAAATAATGGCATCTCATTTTGCGAAAAAAGAATACAATTGGAGGGCAACGCCATAATAGATATTTTCAATGAAAGGTTTAGTTTGTGTGATGTCTTTATTTTTCATAACTTTTTGGAAAAAAAACGAAAAAAAACCCATGCATTCATGTACATTGTAATGTATTACTTGTTGATTTTATCAATGCTATAAATAGACAACATCACTAAGATTCTGATACTGTCAATAGTAAACAGTCCTAACGAAATCTCTATCAAAGAGTAATGCCCTAAGGGCAACAAATTTGTTGGATTAATATTTTGCAAATGTTTTGAAGGCATGCATATCACAAAATAAAACAAGTAAAAGGAACGCACCATACAATATGATGATGGTGATATTGACCTGCCTAGATTTGGACTACATTTTGTCGATAGATGTTATTTGATTCAATTCTATTTTTTAGGTGTCTACCTGAGAGTGAACCTATAGATTTGATGAATGTTGCTTTTGAACAACAAATAAAACCATCTGGTAAAAAAGGGTAAGTACAGTAACAATCATTGATAATTTTTCATTGTGATTCTGTCATCAACATCCATCTCTGCTTTTCAAACTGAAGTCATTTATGTATTTTCCGTGAGAAAAACAGAAATATGATTGAACCACTGTAGTTTCTAGGGCATTAGAAAGGAATATACCTACTCTACCCCTCAGCATGATCGTAAGATGACCAGTATGTTGTCCCTTCAGAATCGGTAGGCCTACACTGTTTGGTGTCAGTTTAAAGTGAAAAACCCTTGACTTACGGTATTGGCAGTAGACCATTGCTGAAAACATCAACCACAAATATAAAAATGAAATTGATAATCATTCGGGTGTCAGTAGAGGACATTGATTGGTATATAGGAAATAACAACTGTACACAAATCAGAGCACTTCTGTCCCCGTGGTCTTACAGTACCAATGTAAAACATTTCAATTTTAGTACTTATGAAGTTTAAGACTCAATAGGTTTTGGTAATTTACTAAATTGTTTTACCAGTTGAGACATTCTGAAAATCATTAAATGGAACAGAAAGCACATTTTTAGCCCACTATCATCTGATGGTGGGCTATTCAAATCACCC